GCCCGCTGCCGCCACCTCTCCTTCTCCCCTCCGAGGCCGCCGCCTGCCTGCCCGCCCGCCGCCCGCGCTGGGTCCTGGAGCGCAGGGGGGCGGGGGGGAGAGAGATGAGGGAGGGAGGGAGGAGGGCAGGCGAGAGGAAGGGAGGGAGGCAGGCAGAGAGAGAGGAGGGAGGGGAGTCCGGAGAGGGGGAACCCGTATTGGTCGGGGCTGGGGGGCCCGCGAGGAGAATGCTGATGAGGGGAAGGCGCTGCATTGGATGGAGGGCCCACCCCGGGGCCACCCCCTCCACCACACCATGCCACCGCCCTGCCCAGGCAGCCCTTGGGCACAGGAGCCCACGGAGATGAGGCGGGGAGACCTAGGGAGAAGGCCATGGAGCTGGGGGTGAGGGCTACAGAGATGAAGGAAAATGCATAGAAATAGCAAGACAGAGGTGGGCCAAGGTCCACAAACCCCACAAGGACAAGGAGAGGGAAAAGCCCAGAGAAAAGAGAGACAGGCCCATCAAAACAAGGGAGCAGACCACAGACACAAGCAAAGGACCTCGGAGAGGAGGGCAGGGGCAGCTTGTGGACACAGACTCCTGGGAAGCCAGGGACAGGGGGCAGCTCGAGGACACAGAGAGCCCTTCATGAGGATGAGGACAAGGGGCAGCTCGTGGACTCACAGAGCCCCCCCAGAAGATGGACAGAGGCCCATGGGAACAGAAGGCACTCCTCGGGCATGGGGGAGTGGTCCATGGTGACAGGAGAAGGCCATGGGCAGGAGGAGAGGCCCACAGAAATGGGAATAAGGACTCATATCACAGAGACAGGGAGGAGGGCCAAGGAGAGTGGGAGAAGGTCACAGAAATGGGGGGAGGCCCAAAGACACAAGGGAACCCATAAAGACAAGGATGCGGACACAAGAGGCCCACTGAGGCAGCAGCAGCCAGCTCATGGAGACAAGGGAGAAGCCCCCAGAAATAGAAGTACCCCCATGGAGGTGAAGGGATGGGTGGTATGGGAATTCTTTATAATGCACAGAGAAATCCTTGGGACCCACTGAGATGAGGGGGAGGGGAGAAGAGTCCGTGGTTCTGTAGTCACTCAAGCTGAGAGGCAGTGGGAAAGGGCAAGGAGCTGGAGGGCAGAGCCAGCAGAAGGGGGAGACTCCCTCCCTCTCAGAGGGAGCTGAGCAGGCAGGGGGATGGAAGAGAGAAGCAGCGACACAGATCTTGGAGTGGGGGTGGGTGGTGCACGGCTGGGTGGGGGATGAAATTTGGGGGGAAGGAACATGACAGTTGGTGCTGAAGGCTGAGCCCGTGACTCACCACCACCCCCAATGCTCATGATGGGGAGGAGACACTGACACACTCACGTGCAGCCCCCCAGCACACGTGACCGCATGCCTCGCACACACACACAGCACGTGGCAACTCTGACACCGGCCTGGCATGGGGAAGCACTCCGCAGCCAGCATGTGGGGCATTCCTCAACATACGTCTGACACGTACATCTGACCCTGAAGGACCACCAACTTTGCGCACACCTCCTCACCCTACCTGGGCAACACCTATGCCCCCCCCCCAACACCCACCCTGAACTCCAACTAGGCCTGAAAGCCCAGACTCACGCCAGCCTCTAGGCCTTTGCTTATGCAGGGACCCCAGCATAGAATGCCTATCCTCTCTAAAGGGAACCTGTCCCCTAATTCTGTGCCAGCACCTCCAGAAAGACTGATCCAGGCCTCAGCTTACTCCTGTATCATCTGAAGAGAAAGGACCTAATCAACCCAGATAAACTGGGAAATCCAAGCAAAAGGTCCCAGCAGAAAGGGACCTGACAAGCGAAGGTGGACCCTTGCATTTTCAAGTGGGGAAGGCCTCCACCAAAGTGAGAAACTGCCTCACAGCATGGAGCCTGTCAAAGGCTGAGTCTAGCTTCGCGGTTTTCTGGCTCCCACCCCAGGCCCCAGGTGACTTCACCCTGAGGCTGAGGAAAAACCCAGATTTCCAGCTTTAGAGCTCACTGATTCTCACCAATTTCTTTCCTCTTCGTATAGCATTCATCCATTCAACATCCTGTCTGCCAGGCAATAGAGCCTAGGAGCCAAGAGTATAGACCTTGGAGTCAACTCCTAGGTTGGAATCCTGGCTGTCTCCGCCTAATGATGGACAAGTTACTTAACTTCTCTGGGCCTCAGTTATTTTGTAAAGTGAGAACAATAGTTCCTCCCTCCTAGAGTTGTTGAGAGGATTAAACTGAATAATGCATGGAAAGCACTGAGCACAAGACTTAGCATATAACACCCTCAGGAAGTGTTACCTATTATTACAAGACTCTTTGAGAGTCTAATAAAAATAATTCTTATGTAGCTTTTACTCTGTGCCTCACAACAATCATATGAGACAGGGGCTATTGTCCCCACTTCACAGATGAGGAAACTGAGGCACAGGGGAGTTGACTTGCCCAAGACAACAGCTAGGAAGTGGCAAGGCCAGGATTCCAATCCAGGTAGCCTGGTTTAATTACATGGTTCTGATGTTAGGGCTTTTAATCTACTGGAATGTTAGGACACCCAGTTAAAAACCAATTTAAGGACATAATTTGCTGAAGAGTAAAACCCACATCCTACTCTGTTTAGGGCCCCCTGGTAGCTTTTTGGCCTCAGAAAGGTAAATGACCAATTCCCCTAAGACTCCGTTTACTCATCTGAAAAATGGGGGGTGGACACAGTTAGAACAAGTGAATCTCTTGCAGCTCCCCTCTCCTTGGGTTCAGGGAGTAGCTCTGGAAATATACATAACAGCGCTGGGGCAACTCGCTTCAAAAGCCCTGAGTGCCAGAAGGGGAGAGTGAGTAGGGATGGCGAGAGCCCCTTGGACACATGGGGACTCTACCTTCCCTAAGCTCTGGGGGTTCAGCCTGGAAGGAAGCATAGTCCATCTGCTACCAGGTCACTTCCTGCAGGTTCTGACCCTGGTTGTCCTTCAGGTCATCGACTCCTCACACTCTTCAAAAGAAGCTGCTTATCTCTGCTTTTCCTTTTTCTCCCACCATTTCCCATTTCCTCCTTTATCCTTCAAGTTTTCCTCGTTCCCTCAAGTTCCCTCTCTCCTTGCTTTTCCTCTGACATTTCTTCTCCCCGCTCCCGCGAGTCCCTCGGTTTTTCTCCGTTTCCTTCTTGCTGCCTTTATTCCTCTCGTTCTAACGGAGTCTGGAGCCTTGATTTCCCCCTTCATGTGACTGGTGCTGCAGTTTCCCCTCTCCCCTTCGCGCTGACTGTGCTTCACGCGCGCCCTTCATTCCTCAGGGTGTCCTGCTCCTCAACTTTCCCGCCCTCGCCTGCGGAGGTCGCGTGCCTCAATTTCCCCGACTTTCCCCTCGACCCCCACGCGGCTTCCACCCGTCGCCCCCAAGATGGCGCCCGCAGCCTCGCTCCGCCTCCTGACGTCATCGCGCTGGCCTGTCGTCTCGAGCCGTCAAGAAGAGTCGACGAGGAGGTGGAAGAGGAGCATCCTCCGGGGCTTAAGGGGGCGGACACTATCAACCCGGGGGCCGGTCGGTGTGGGAACGTCGCTAGAGGATTGGTTCGGCGCCGCGGGGGATCCCGACGCCCCATACTATTGGCCCAAGGATCGGCGACGTGAGCGTCGATTGGCCTGACGGCGGGGGCCAGACGGGCGATGATTGGGCGCGTTGGGCTGTCCGCGCGGCGGCCGGGGAGGAAGGTGGGAGGGGCGTTGCTGAGGGTGATTAGGGGCGAGAGCGAGGCTGCGGAGCAAGCGAGAAGCCACGGAGGGAGCTAGAGAGGGCGTAGCGCTAGGGTGGCCGTCCGAGGGGAACGGCGGCCCGGGCCCGGGCCCGGGGCGTGCGAGACGGCGGAGGCGGGTGAGTGCGGGCTGGCGCGCGGAGGGCCGGCCCGGCTCCCCACCCTTCCCCCGCGGCCTCTTCTCGCCACCCCGCCTGCGCACTGAGGACCGGAGGGGGCGCGCGCCGGGTGAGGGCGGAGCGGCACCAACGGCCGGTGGGGCGCGCGGGCGGCCGGGCGGGGCGGCGGGTGGGGAAGGGGGCTAGAGACGTGTTGAAGGGCTGAGTGAAGAGGGGCGGTGCGGGGGCTGGAAGGGACCTAGGTGGGAAGGCGGCGTTAGAGCTGCCCCCGGGAGGGTCTCCGAGGCTCCAGGGGGTATCGGGTCAAGGGCTTGGCCGTGGCAGTCCAGGACCGCAGTGGGGTGGACGGTTAGAGGACACTTGGGTGCCCGGAGAGGGGTTTAGGGCGTGAGAAGAGAGGTAATTAAGTTAACATAAGGAGAAAATCTAGTTATTCTGGGGAAGAATTAGGCCAGTGAGAGAGGTCTTGGTGTGAAAAGATATTAGGAAATGGATATCCCTAGAGGGGAGATCTAGAGCTGAGGGAGAGGCCCAGGTGTAAAGAATGGGGTTCCGTTAATGTGAAGAGGAGTTAAACCAAAGTGAAGAGGGGGGTACCCTTGGAATGGGCTGAGACGGGTCTCTGTGCGAAGAAGGGTTATGTTATGTGAAAAGGGTGTCTAGAATAGGTTGGGTGGAAGTAGTCTTTTTGAGAAGTACAGAGAATTAGGTCAAGGTGAAGAGGAGGAATTGGGTATCCGTGGAGAAGGTCAGAGTGGTGAGAGAGAGATCTGTGTGCTAAGGTGGGGAGGGCCTGGGTATCCCCGGAATGAGAATGAGATGTTAGGTTGATAAGTTAGGGGTGTGGGTATCCCCAGGTTAAAAGACTGGTGAGAGGGGTCTGGGTGCGAGGAAGAGGGACCTGACTATCTTCTGTCTGGGTTAGGGTGGGGGGAGGAGTTGTGCATAAGAAGAAGAGAGGGTCTGGGTGTCTCTAAAGGGGATTTGGGCGGTGGAAGTGGTGTGTATGCAAGAAGTTCAAGCCATTGTGAAGGGTAGCCTGGACATCCTGAATTGGGTTAGAGTATGTGTAAGATCTTTTTGCAAATAAGAGGAATTAAGTTGGTATGAAGAGGGGGTCTGGGCATCCCTAGATTGGGTTAGGTTGGGAGGAAGTCTTTGCAAAGAAGAAAAGGTTAGATTAATAACGTGAAGGGGGATCTGGGTGTCTCTGGAATAGCTTAGTAAAGAAGGATTTAAATTGATGTGAAGAAGGTATCTGGGCATCCCTGCAATGGGTTAGGGTGAGGGGGTGGGGCTTTTTGTAAAGAAGAGGTGCTTAGGTTGATATGAAGAGGGGTATGGGTATCCCCAGAGGGTTAGGATGGTAGGGATCTTTTGTGCAAAGGAGAGAGTAAATGTGAAGAGAGAGTCTGGGAATCCCTGAATGGATTAGGGTGGTTGTATATGAATATGAAGAAGAGGGGTTTAAGGCAATGTGAAGAGAGGATCAGGGTATCCCAGAGGAGATTATAATTGTAGGTTAGGTCTCAGTGCAAAGAAGAGGTGATTAATGTGAAGTGTCTGGGTACCCTGGAGACACGAGTTAGGGTGGTGGGAAGGGTCTAGGTATGAAGAACGGGTTAAGCTTTTGTGAAGATGGGTCTGGGTATTCCGGATGGGGGGTTAGGGTTGTGGGAGAGGGCCTTAATTTGTAGAGAGGGTTAAGTAATTTGAAGAGGGGGATCTGGGTTTCATGGGCAAGTGGTTAAGGTGGGGAAAGTCTGGATGTGAAGATGGGTTAGGCCAATGTGAGAAGAGTTGTTTGGGGGAAGGGATAGTTTGATGTGAGGAACCTGGGCACCAGAGGGAGAGTTAGTGGGTAGCAGGGGTTGTGTGTAAAGGAGAGGGGTTGCACCATGTGGGAGTGCTGAAAGTGGGAGGAATTGGGGCAGTTTGAGTAGTCTGTGTTTAAAAAAAGGTCGAGAACCTGGGGGAGGGAGCAGAGGAGCAAGGCTGGGAGAAGCAGGCAGTTAGGGCCTATGTGAGGACCCCCCCACACCCCGGGCTTGGGCACCCACCTGGGAGCACAGATGGGGCAGTGAGTTGGTAAGGAAAGGAGTCAGTGGAAGGAGGTGGAGAGGATACAGGTTCTGGTGTGATGGGCGGGGCCTTGGGCCAGCTGTGGGGCATGGGAGATGAGGGGTTGGTCAGATTTCAGGATCTGGTGGGTGGAGTTTGATGCGAGTTGATTCAGAGGTGAGACTTGGGTAGATTCCTTGGGAAGGGACTACTGGGAAGATTTTGTGCTTGGTGCTCTTGTGTGTTCAGGAGAGGAAGGATTGTTGCAGGGGGGTGGGGGGAGTGGAAAAATGGAAACAAGAATTTAGAGAGGGAAATAGATCTAAGGTTTTGGTGGGGGGATGATAAAGGGAAAGAATTGTCCATGGGAAGGACTGAGGAGCAGTGGCTTAGCTGTGGTTTGTCCCCACCTCTCCCCTTTCCCAGCCCAGGGCCTTGCTGCTGCCATGACTGAGGAGTCAGAGGAGACGGTCCTTTACATTGAGCACCGCTATGTCTGCTCTGAGTGCAACCAGCTCTATGGATCCCTGGAGGAGGTGCTCATGCACCAGAACTCCCATGTGCCCCAGCAGCACTTTGAGCTGGTGGGCGTGGCCGACCCTGGAGTCACTGTGGCCACAGAGGCAGCTTCTGGCACGGGCCTCTATCAGACCCTAGTGCAGGAGAGCCAGTACCAGTGCCTGGAGTGTGGGCAGCTGCTGATGTCACCCAGCCAGCTCCTGGAGCACCAGGAGCTGCACCTGAAGATGATGGCGCCCCAAGAGGCAGTGCCAGCTGAGCCGCCACCCAAGGCTCCCCCCCTGAGCTCCAGTACCATTCACTACGAGTGTGTGGATTGCAAGGCTCTCTTCGCCAGCCAGGAGCTCTGGCTGAACCACCGGCAGACACACCTCCGGGCCACTCCCACCAAGCCTCAAGCCCCGGTTGTCCTGGGGTCCCCAGTTGTCCTAGGGCCCCCTGTGGGCCAGGCCCGCGTTGCTGTGGAGCACTCATACCGCAAGGCAGAAGAGGGTGGTGAGGGGGCAGCTGTTCCCTCTGCTGCTGCCACCACCACTGAGGTGGTGACTGAGGTAGAGCTGCTCCTTTACAAGTGCTCCGAGTGCTCCCAGCTCTTCCAGCTGCCAGCTGACTTCCTGGAGCATCAGGCCACCCACTTCCCTGCTCCTGCCCCAGAGTCTGAGGAGCCTGCCTTGCAGCAGGAGACCCTGACCCCATCACCTGCAGAGGTGCCTGTGTCTCAGCCTGAACCCCTGCCATCCTCTGATCACAGTTATGAGCTGCGCAATGGTGAAGCCATTGGACGTGACCGCCGGGGGCGCAAGGCCCGGAAGAACAACAGTGGAGAGCCAAGTGGGGCAGCCACCCAGGAGCTCTTTTGCTCAGCCTGTGACCAGCTCTTTCTCTCGCCTCACCAGCTACAGCAGCACCTGCGGAGTCACCGGGAGGGCGTCTTTAAGTGCCCCCTGTGCAGTCGTGTCTTTCCCAGCCCTTCCAGTCTGGACCAGCATCTTGGTGACCACAGCAGCGAGTCTCACTTCTTGTGTGTGGACTGTGGCCTGGCCTTTGGCACAGAGGCACTTCTCCTGGCCCACCGGCGAGCCCACACCCCGAATCCTCTGCATTCATGTCCGTGTGGAAAGACCTTTGTCAACCTCACCAAGTTCCTTTATCACCGGCGTACCCATGGGGTGGGGGGTGTCCCTCTGCCCACAACACCAGTCCCACCAGAGGAACCTGTCATTGGTTTCCCGGAGCCAGCCCCAGCAGAGACTGGAGAGCCAGAGGCCCCACAGCCCCCCGTGTCTGAGGAGAGCTCAGCAGGGTCCACTGCCCCAGGCACTTACCGCTGCCTCCTATGCAGCCGTGAATTTGGCAAGGCATTGCAGCTGACCCGGCACCAGCGTTTTGTGCACCGGCTGGAACGGCGCCATAAGTGTGGCATTTGTGGCAAGATGTTTAAGAAGAAGTCTCATGTGCGTAACCACCTGCGCACACACACAGGCGAACGGCCCTTCCCCTGCCCGGACTGCTCCAAGCCCTTCAACTCACCTGCCAACCTGGCCCGCCACCGGCTTACGCACACAGGGGAGCGGCCCTACCGGTGTGGGGACTGCGGCAAGGCTTTTACACAAAGCTCCACGCTGAGGCAGCACCGCCTGGTGCATGCCCAGCACTTCCCCTATCGCTGCCAGGAGTGTGGAGTGCGTTTTCACCGCCCCTACCGCCTGCTCATGCACCGCTACCACCACACAGGCGAGTACCCCTACAAGTGTCGTGAGTGTCCCCGCTCCTTTCTGCTGCGCCGACTGCTGGAGGTGCACCAGCTTGTGGCCCATGCTGGGCGCCAGCCCCACCGCTGCTCATCCTGTGGGGCTGCCTTCCCTTCTTCACTGCGGCTCCGTGAGCACCGCTGTGCAGCTGCTGCTGCCCAGGCCCCACGGCGCTTTGAGTGTGGCACCTGTGGCAAGAAAGTGGGCTCGGCCGCTCGGCTGCAAGCGCATGAGGCAGCCCATGCAGCTGCAGGGCCTGGAGAGGTCCTGGCTAAGGAGCCCCCAGCCCCTAGGGCCCCAAGGGCCACTCGTACTCCAGTCGTCTCCCCAACAACCCTTGGAGGCACTGCCACTGCGGCCCCTGCAGGCCCTGCCCGACGCCGGGGCTTGGAGTGCAGTGAGTGCAAGAAGTTGTTCAGCACAGAGACGTCGCTGCAGGTACACCGGCGCATCCACACAGGTGAGCGGCCATACCCATGTCCAGACTGTGGCAAGGCCTTCCGTCAGAGTACCCACCTGAAGGACCACCGGCGCCTGCACACAGGTGAGCGGCCCTTTGCCTGTGAAGTGTGTGGCAAGGCCTTTGCCATCTCCATGCGCCTGGCGGAACATCGCCGCATTCACACAGGCGAACGGCCCTACTCCTGCCCCGACTGTGGCAAGAGCTACCGCTCCTTCTCCAACCTATGGAAGCACCGCAAGACCCACCAGCAGCAGCATCAGGCAGCTGTGCGACAGCAGCTGGCAGAGGCAGAGGCCGCCGTAGGCTTGGCCGTGATGGAGACTGCAGTGGAGGCACTACCGCTGGTGGAGGCCATTGAGATCTACCCTCTGGCTGAGGCAGAGGGGGTCCAGATCAGTGGCTAACCTTGCCCCATTTCCCTCTTCAGCACCACCATGCCCTGTCGCTGAAGAACCTCCTCCAACATCCCCTTAAGTTTATGTACATACTGTCCCCTTCTTCCACCCTTCCCAGGCGCCATGTAAGTTCTGTAACCGAATTTGGTCTTTCTCCTGAGAGGGGTGCTCTGAGGTCCTTGATATGCATAAAAGGTGCCCCCCACACACACCTGTTAGCATTGGTGGCCCCAAGGTGAAAGAGTCAATAAAGACTGAGTTGGACATTTACGTGCTTTTGTCTGGTCCAGCTGTGTGGGGTGGAATTTGGGAGCCATGAGCCCAGGTACTTAGGTCTGACTTTTCATGGCTGTATTCCCAATGTCTAGAAAAGGGCCTGGCAAGTAGTAGGGGCTCAGTAAACACTTGCTGAATTGAAGAGGAGGACATGGGGTCCATGACCATGGTTCTCAGGGAGTGGGGTCTTCACTCTGGTGTTAGGTGGAGGGTGCATGGCTCTTTTGCCACTAGAGGTCCCCACAGCCCCACAGAAGAGCCTGAAGCTGTTTCTACTGGTGGCAGGAACATTTGGGAAAATCTTCAGATTCTTCTCACCATCCCTGTCCCCCCAGTTCCTGACCTAATGTGAGCCGTCTCCCCCAGGGCCATCTGGTTTTCTCACTTTGGACCCCTGAGGGCAAATGCAGGTCTGGGGAAGGCATGATCTCCGAGGCCGTGGAGGAGAGTGGTCCCTGGTACCAGACCCGGCTGTGGAGTTGGAGAAGAGTCTGAGTAATGGTTGGCTGGGAGTAGGAAGCCTTATAAGGGGAGTTTCCTTAATGCTCACCTGGATTTGGACTCTGGCTCAGCCAACAGATGTTTGTGGTGGGGTGGGGTGGTGGGGGTGGCTGACTTGATGTTTGAATGTCTAGTTTGTCTCAAGTACTTTGCTAAATTTTTTGGAATAATCTTCACACTGCTCCTGTGAGGAGAACACAGGGAAGGAATCTGAAGTAAAAACGATGGGGTGATTTGCTCAAGGTCATTCAACCCAGATAGGGCAGAGCTTCAATTTAAGTCTAATTTCATTTGGTTTAATCGCCCATGTGCTTTCTTCGACATTCTGCTGCCTTCTGCATACTTGGGGGAGGGCAGTGGAGAAAGGAGATGGTGAGTGTGTGACTGGTGGGAATGTTCAATTGCTCTGTTAGTCTTGTCTCTAAGAGCCACACCCCAAGAAAAATAAGCCCCCCCCCCAAGCTTACTTCAGTCTTTTTGTTGGAGAGAGTTCTTATTTGGAAGCCCTAATAAATGAAAGGTAGAAGGAAAGCTGTCTGTATTGAAACCAGACAAAAGGGAGGCCTGAGATCAGCCCACTCAGCCTCTCCATTACTCCACTCCCTTCAGCAGTCCTGCAGCCCTCGGTGGGCATTGGGCCCCTGAAGACATAGACTGTTGTCTGTGTCTTAGAAGGTTTAGCCTGTTGCTCAGGTGAGAAAATGAGGGCTCAAAGAGAGAAGAGACTTATCAAGGCCACACAGGTGGTAGAGCCAGGGCTAGAAACCAGGTCTTCTAACTCCGTTAATAGAGATTTTACTACATTATATTTTAGTCATTTTTAAAAAGAAAAAGCACTCATCCACTTGATATCTCCTCAGCTCCTAATGAAAAGCGGTTATCTGTTAAGCAGTTTCCAGAGTGTGTTGATCATGGGCACCATCTTTCAGTAACCTCACACCCTACAGAAAGGACTCGAGCCATCTTAGCCCAGCATGCCAGACCCCTTTAATCCACAGGTAAAGATTCATTCTCAAACTGCCTCCTCTCAAGAAGAGCTATAACATCCTAAAAGTCACATCAAGTAAGTGCTTAGAACAATTGGAAGATTTATCCTTGCAAAAACCAGATAAAAATCAGACTGAATCAAGGGACGAGAATGGAGGAAAAAAACGAAGTTGCTGGTTGACTGCAAGATAAAGATGCTTTCAGCAGAGGGGTGGCTCTGTGACAGTGGGGTTATCACCCTTTATTGTGGTTCCTTTTTAACGTTCCTAATGAAAACTTTAGACTCCCACCTTGAGAAAAGTTTGTGTGTGCAAAAACGTTTATGAGCAAAACTCACTGTTCACCATCACCCCCTAAAACTTCCATGGTCCTCAGTTGAACCACTGTGCTAAAAAAGATGGCACTGATCAAACCCTTGTTGGATGCCGGGGTTTGAGTTGGACAGGCAAAGGTTCTCAAAACTTTAATGTGTGTTAGGCAATTCCCCCAGAGATTTGGATCCAGCAAGCAAGTCTGGGTGAGACCCAGGAATCTGCGATTTGAACACACCAATTTTTAGCAGGTGACTTGCAGACCTCTCTAAGGAGATCCTTGCACTGCCTGTTTTTAGTTGGATATGGAAGCTGTATAAGCAGAACTGTCAAGGGGACAGAATGGTAGTCCTCTAGTGCCCGATATGGTTTTGTTTTTTTTTTTATAATTTTATGGATTTATTTCCCCCCAAAGCCCCAGTAGGTAGTTGTATGTCACAGCTGCACATCCTAGTTGCTGTATGTGGGATGCGGCCTCAGCCTGGCCAGAAAAGTGGTGTGTCGGTGGGCGCCCGGGATCTGAACCTGGGCCGCCAGCAGTGGAGCGCGCGCACTTAACCGCTAAGCCATGGGGCCGGCCCTGTTTTCTTTTTTTTTTTTTTTTTGGTGAGGAAGATTGGCCCTGGGCTAACATCTGTTGCCAATCTTCCTCTTTGTGCTTGAGGAAGATTGTCCCTGAGCTAACATGCATGCTGATCTTCCTCTATTTTGTATGTGGGACTCCAGCACAGCATGGCTTGATGAGCCGTGTGTAGGTCCACACCCGGGATCCAACCGAGCCCAAGGATCCTGGGCCACCAAAGTGGAGCATGCGAACTTAACCACTATGCTACCGGGCCCCAGACAAGAGGAGGCTTAAGTTTGTACAGGGGAGGGCATGTGGAGCAGTTGGGCACACTCACAGGGCTACAGGTGGATGCCTAGTTAAGCTCCATAGTGCTCTCTGTGCCATCCGTGCTTGTCACAGGATGGCCTGAGTGACAAGGAACTTTTGGGTCTGTATGGGTCTGACTGTACCACCCTGCAGGCAGGAGGCTGGACCAAATGACCTTCCTCAGGGTACTATTCTGTTTCTTCATCTCAGCATCCCACTCCCCCATCCCCACTGACTTGTCTTGAGAGTTGGAGAGGTGCTTTCTTTTCTTTCAATCTTGCCAAAGGGATGCAGTGCTAATACTTTTTATCTTTCTAAATGATCAAACCCCTCTTCACTCTTCCTTTCTCCTGTTCTCCCATCCCTCACTATGAATTTGCAGAATCCCAGCACCTGTGTGCTAGGCATACATCAGAGGATGGAACAATGACAAGGAGACCTGATGGCAATGAGAAAATCCAGTTGTTGATACCGTTTCTGATTTTCAGTGGTGAGGTCTTGGGGATCAGCCCATGGCCTGACCTGTGAAGCTGCTATTCTGCCAAATGACTTAGTCAAGATGGGCACAGAAATTTGAGTGAAAGAGAGTTAATGACACTCTGAAAAAGAAGGGGGATGCGTACCTTGTTTTTAACAGGTCTTGTTAGTCCTCTGGGGATGAGGGTGGGGAAGTACTCACTGCTTTCCTGGCCTTCTCATAGTTCTCATTATTGAAGACTGTGCTGGAGATCTGTCCTAAGCATGGATATCATCATCTCGTTTAATTCTTAGAAGCCCACAGGGTAGATATTGTCTCTGTTACAGATGAGGACACTGAAGCTCACAGATCAAGGGCCACATATCTATAAAATGGCAGAACTGAGATTTGAATTCATCCTAAGTTCCAAGACTTGGTTTTCTGATGGGCAAAAAAAACAATTGCTCAGGCCTTACTTGTGAATATTTACTGTTTGAACAGAAGTAAAGCTCTCCCCTCCCGAGCACACACCCATCCAATACCCTGATTTTCCCAGCACCCTTCCCAAGACAGGAGACCAGGGAGAGCAGGCAGCATTTCTCTCTGTACAGTTTTTAATTTTTTATTTTTTGATGTTGTTCAGATGAATGACACACTCAAGTTACAAAAATGGGGCCTTAAAAGAAGCACATTGTACAATGAACAAGCAGATTGGAGTTAAGAACACTGAAACGCTAACCCGCTACCACGAGAAGAGACAGGGAGAGGGTACAGGATGGGAAGGGAGGGGGCTACCAACACAGGGGTCAGACAGAACTGAAAGGGGGGCTAACTTGGTGAGAATGGAGGAAAGGCAGGTCTCCTCCAGGGCCTATTCAATTTCTGGATGCCACTTCTTGGTCTCCCTTGCCCACTACTTGCCACCTCCTCCTATCCCCATTCCAACACGGTCATTCAAATGAGTAGGTGAGAGACACCCACCACAGAAAAGGCCAAGCCAGTCAGATCTTTACAAGGTGGGGTGGTCACCTTGCCCTAGTGCAGCCTTGGATTTGGGAGGTGATGGTGGCAGCAGCGGGATAAGAAGCCAGAAAGGAGCTAGCAGAGAGTTGATCAAAGATCAAACTCCTGCACTTCCCCCCTTCCCCACCCCACCATGATCTAAAGGCCCTCTCTACAAGTTGTCGAGAGAGGCCCCCAGTCACCCTGCAATTATATAAATAAATAAATACTGAGCCCCTGGGCTTAGAGGACAGGCTGGGGAAGGGG